GGACTATAGATAATCGATCATGCTGAGTCTCGTGGCAATATTTATTTTTAGAAAAAGTTCAAAAAGTCTACCGAAAAGCGAGTTTTACGAAAATTTGGGTTTTCAGGCTGTTTTCACCTATTACAAAAGTCACAATTCACTCAATAAGCATCAGAACGGGTTCAAGACTTCAGGATATGGTCGATTTTCTCCGCTAAATGGGATTATAATAACTATAATAAATATAAACATTTGAAAATTTCTCAGCGTTTATCTTTTTAATTAGAGCTCAGGCTAATTAATGAGTAGAGCTTGGAGATTCTCACCATTTGTAGAGCAATAATTGATCTATTTACCTGTGCAAAAATTATTAATTAGTACCATTGGCTTAACGAGAAAACTGTTTTTTACTGGTGAATTATTTCTGGTGTAAAATACATGGCGTATCCAATTACCCCACCAATTTCTATTGTTGTTTCCAATTGCCCCAAGTGACGTAATTGGGAATGTTCGTTAGAGCTTTCAGCAAAACACCGAGAAGTTCGCCTGGGACACGGAGTTTTTGACAATTTTTAGACAGGCTTATAGAGAACTTCCTCCTCTACCTACCTGTAAAAAGAGTACAAAAAGATAATTAAAATTAACAAATTTATACGAATTAGAAGTCCAAAGAGCAAAAAATCGATTCCAATTGCCTCAATTTACTCTATATAATCTGCACTGTAAAAAAGTTGAGCAATCTTTAAGTGAGTTATGAACATAATGTTCGACTGAACAGCTTTGGTATTGCTTGAGCCGTGAATTTTGGCGTATTGTTAGTACAGTACAGTACTACAGAGTGCCCTATAGAACACAGTAGATAAAAATATAAATAAATAAAAATAATACGTAACCAAAAGCTACAATACGTAGCAAAAAGCTGTTCAAGATTTATCCAGATATCGAAAGTCTGTGAAGATTTTGCTAATTAATTAATAAGGAATTAATTGCTTTGTCAGAATCAGTTACATATCTGGATCAAGTTTGTTCAAGACAGATTCTGTAACAAAACGTGTCGACAATCTTGAACTGCAAGATGATCTCAGAATCTTGACAGATATCGATAAATCTGCATAAGATCTTGAAAGAACTAATCAGAAACTTCAGAACTTTTTTAAGTTTTTATCCAGATCTACAGTCAAGAGTTTTTTGCTTGGGTATAGCTCTTTCTTTCTTTCCTTTTGCTGCTCTGTACGGTGAATAAATTTACCGATTTGTTTCCGGGTGTTTTTAGTATAAATACAACACTGTCGAACATGAAACATGAGCTATTTTTTCTCCAGGTTTTTGCACTGAACAGTGTGAGTCATCAAAATCACTGCTGTGCGAAGACGTGTGCCTTAGTCAGTCGCACACGCCCTGGGTTAGTTCCAGAGGCTGATTCAAAAACTAAATAGTAAACAAGAAGACCGATATTTATGGCTAAATATTAGCTTTTAATGGATAGAAAAACTATTCGTAAATCCGACGCTATTTCTGATGGTAGGATCCTTTCCATACAATTTCCGATCGGAATCCGGGCAATAGGATTCCGATCCAATCCACCACGAACCGGGACGGATTTTGTCGGAAACAGACGCCTTCCGGTATCTTCCAACGTCGGATCTGACTGGTTCTTGAGTAAGGAGTGAACGACGCGGGTAGTAGATGGAATTACTTCGCATGTGAAGAATGAGTTGTCAAATAATTCTGTCTACTACGCATTATAGCTCGTATCACGCAAATTTAGAAAAAAAGAAAACAAATCCCGCGAACCGGAGTCGAACCAGTGACCTAAGGATTACATTTGCTACTTGCATCTACAGTCCTCCGCTCTACCAACTGAGCTATCGCGGGTGTTCTTCTGTTGTATTGAACTAGACTACTTTCAGCGTAGAGACTGATGCTATATTACCTGTTGAGGAAACGAATTAGTTCAATTGAAATATTTCACACATTTCGGCTCTTACCAGAACAACTGCACACAAGGCGAAACATGCACTATTCACTGGAGGAGTTATGTGAATACTTAGGTAAAGTAATTACTAACGGACGTCCGTCCACTTGATTACTAAAAAAACAATTGATAAAAGTAATCCTCCCTGCAACCTTTTTGTTTTGTTTCTTTCTACTGCGACTATCTACTGTGACTACAAGAAAGATCTATCGTGTAGAATAATATAAAATTGATTACCGCATTACCACACATTACTGAACTCATTCTAAAAGGATTAATTAATCCTACCCCAGAACAAAACATCCTTATCATAAATAATGTCCATAAATAAATAGCTGACACTAAAAGATTAAGTTAACTTTTACCTGCCATTTCTACCCCATTAATTTCATGATTGTGTGAATGAGCTGTATACGTTTCATTATTAAATTCTTTTATTGATATTTCATTAATATCAATTTCGTTTATAATTCTTGTAAATATTGTATTATTCGGTGTATCAATATTAATACGAACTGATTTTGTATGATTATCGGTCATTTTCGAATGAAGATATAAATTATCAATGTTTTCTTGTCTTGGAATAATTTGTTAATTATCGAACTTAAATATTTTTTGTTTGTTGAGATGTTGAATTAATCAAATAATTTTGATTGTTAAACACGAGATTTTAATCTTTTTAATTTCAATCTCTTCTACAATTTAAAGATTTAAAATTATCACTTTTTACTGAAGGAAACACAGTCAGGTAAACAAAGATAAGATATCTTAAAATAAAACCATCATAAAATATATATTAATAATAGAAAAATGGGAATTCTATTTATTTTTATAAATGTAAAAATAATATTAAATATGAGTAGCCAATATAAATGTCACCATAGCGTTCATAACTAGTCTCGATTACTTTTTGTTTAATAAGAAAAATAATTTTTCAAGTGAAAGTTTCATTCTATAGAACAACTTACGAGGGAACCGTTCCAACTGTCTGATCGCGTTTTGAACGAAAATCAGTGGATTACAGGTTATTAACAGTATTGATTCAAGATATCATCCGAGAAGCGGCTCATAGGCATTCGAAAACCGTTTTTTCGGGCTAAACGTCTTTTTTTCCGTTAAAAAGATGTTTGATCCTTTGTCTAGAAAACAATACAATTCTTTTATTGCAGAACGTTTCTTGAAGAAGACATAGTCATAATTGTAATTTTATACTTGCATTTTTCTCTTTGATAACTTCCAGAAAGACATTATAACTGACGTATCTTCTTCCAGAAACGTCTGGATATAAAAAAAATTGCTGTTTTTTAGACAGCTTGACATGCTGTACAATCTGAACAAGTCAAAAAAATTTTGACAGAATATTTTTCTCTTGTTAGTTACAGAATTGTTACAGAATACGGATATGTATGTTGTGTTGTACTATAGAAGGGTCAGCTCTTATACTGAATACATAGGTAAACATTAGTTGACTCAAATTCATCCTCACCCTTAGTATCAGTGTCACTCTGAATCACATTTTCACCACCCACACCTTCATACTAATCGTTACTCTGATCTTTCATGTTTCCAAACGTAATCGCTAATAATTTCTCATGTTTACAGCCCAAGAGCTTAAAAAGATTGAAGAGCGGACATTCTGACCCCATATAAATTTTTTAATACGCGGTCCAAATCGCCTACTGAGATTGGTTTATTTACATTCTACTCGTTCTCTTGTGGAAGAATACCGGGAGTATTTTTATCCGTTCACTTATACCTCGTATAATTATCGTTCTGCATTGAAGAAATATGGGGCCAAGAAAAATGCTTTCTAATTCCTTTGAAGCGCCGCGTGATTGCTTCCCCCACTTTTAAACTCTCCGAGATGCAACATTAACTTGTATCCTTATACCTAGACTAAAAAGGCCTCTAGGAGATCTCTAGAAAGCTTTTCTGGAGCTACGCATTTTTGACGGTGTTTAGGTGTAAAGTCACTAAAAAGTCATATTCGAGGTATCTGACCACCCGCAGAGAATTTTTGATCACCCGCATTTTTCTTGGCCCCATATTTCTTCAATGCAGAACGGTAATTATACAAGCGATAATGTGTTTTAAATTTGTCTCCAAATATTCATTCACAAATGGACGAGCTAATAGGGGACGCAATGATAGCTTCATGTTATTTTAATTATCTTGTCACATAAATCAACAGTAATGGAGCATGTTTGCAGAAATAACCTGGGTGCCTTCACTTTTTAAGTAAAGAACCGCAATACCCAGAATTGAGTTGAAGTTTTGAAAAGATAGTTTATTAAGTGTTATATTCAGCACACCAGTAATGAGGGCAATAAACCGTTACTAGTTTATTCATTGAGAGTAGCTAATTCAGCAATTATGTTCTATTAACAGCATGGTAACCAGCTGTGACTAGAGTGCACCATCAGTAGGATATGACAGGCTACTCAGGTAGATGCAACAGCATGAGAAGGAAAACCAAAACAAAGCCTCTGTATTCCATGCACTAATAATGGTTTACCCTACAATGACCAGATTAGGAAGTGCTACGATTTCTAATTCAGTAATGCGTGTCTTAAGTTTAGAACCGAATGATGCCAGCTGGCTCATCTTTTGTTCCTCGTTTGTTTAGTGATTTTATTTCTGAAGAAATTAGATATGTAAACGGAAAAGTTGAAAAAGATAAATTATAGTAGTTTTCGATAAATGGAAAATGTCAGCGTATACTAACGGCCTTATTATAAACAACAGTTGAACATCGAACCTTGATTTTGAATCATAAGAGAATCTTTGCAAGCACATGAACAACCTAGAACTTGTCCATTGGAACATGCAAATGGTGATGGTTTTTGGCTACAACAGGCATTGGGAACAAATGGTGGTGCTGCTCCCCCACTCGAACCGTTGCCTCCATCAATATCTGGCAAATCACCATCATTGGGATTAGGATTTGGTTTCCATGTGGGTATGCGTACTGGATTGAATGGTGGAATAGTGGGAATACCAACTGGTGGTCGATAAACAGGTGGACGAACGCCACCACCGAAACCTAAGCTGAATGCATCTGTCTCTATATTGACAAAAACAACAGCGATTACAAGTATACCAGATAATAAGCCCATTATACCTGAAGTAAATAGCACCATGTTAACGTTCTTCAATATTGCTCTAATTGCAACGAAGAGCCTATGGTTTACTTACCTTTACCTAAATTGTTGACTGTATTGATTGATTCGCAGGACTATTATATTTCCTCATAATTTCATAGATTTCTTTTATATATAAGAAAACAAAGAGAGCATCGAGGAAAAAACCTCTCATTGAAAATCAGTGACCTAAACATACTGCCAGTAGGATTCTTTCTTTAATGCATTCTTCTGTCCTTCTGTTTGTTCTTTTTCGCTTTTTCACTGAAGTCATTCAATGACAACTGATTCTCTTAAGTATAAAATGTTGAATGTACAGAATGTAGAGACACTTCCTGGTAGAGTACCACAACCAGCGCCCGTTGATATCAATGATTAATCTGGAATTTTAACTACATGTAACTCTTTAAACTTGATCCTGTTTATTAAAAAATAGTTTGCGCTTAACTTCAAAGAACAAACGTAGCTATACTTGCAGACCAGTGTATGTTGCATAGTGCACAAAACGTCCAAGCAAAAACCTAGGAAAATAAATATGTGCATGTAACTCTGTCCCAGAATACATTATCCTCAGAGAGAAGCCAAGTTTGAATCACGATGATGGTGATTTGCCGAATATTGAAAGAGGCGATGGTTCGAATGGAGAGCAGGGTGGGGGGTCTCGATAACATCGAGCTTTGAAGTACATCAAAATGCCTATACACTGCAATTAGTGATATTTCCAGATAAACAGCCATTTTTATCCTCGTTTCACAGCGGCGAACTGCCACTAACACTGATCGTTAGTCTGATCGGTCTCGCAATTAATATGCTAAATTTCTGATTGCAAGGACCTTAGCAGCACCCTAATGCAAATCTGAGATACTTAAATCATCGAGTGCTGTTGGTGTTGAGATTGCACACTCGAAATCCATAATAGAAGATCTCAAAATATCGATCATCATTCACGTTAACAGAATGGTCCCCACCTGATGGTGACGCGTCCTTTTATATTCTTTAAAACCTCTTGTACAACGTGCGAGAATATTTTATAATATTATACGTATTACGGCCCATCTCTAAGCTAACTTTATATGGACAAAAAACATAAAGTCTATGAGGCGTGAATGTTTTCAACTTGCACAAAGTATTTTCAAATAGTATAGTTCTAATACATCATTTTCATCATAAGGACTACATGGACGATCACGTAAACATAAACTCGTAAATTTTGGTAAATTTTTAGTTTCGATATCCAATCCACTATACGATCCATTTTACACTGATTGTTGATGACCACTAACTGTAATTGTTGATAATGTTTCAGATAACATAGTGAAAAAAAGAGAAAAATTTTATCAAGATTACCAGAAAACTAACCAGAAGTAAATAATGTTAAACACTGTAATCTTGTATGTATTTTTGATACTAGTAGCAATATAATTAATATCTTTTCTCATCTATCAATCTTCCAGTTGACCTTAGACGAAGAAGCGCAGAATGACTTTTGGCTGATCAGAAATATGATAATCACAGAGCTGTATCATTCTAACAATTAATGTCAAGTGGGTCAAGATGATTTACTGCTAGAATTGCCAGCGTAATTTAGTCGACTCTAGCC